TTAAGTTACGAAGGCACCTAATTTAATCAGAAAAAAATTAACACCGCACCTTCCGGCAGTAAAAGTCAGAGAGAAGAATTAATTGCGCGATGTGCGAACGCGTTTCTTTCGGACAATAATATTTGCTACTAATCCTTAAGTACTGATTGGTCCGATCACACGAAAAAAAAAAAACGCTATATCTGTCTCAATGGCTGCGTTCAGCAGAAAAAGCAGCTTTGCAACTGTTGTAAAATTCTTTAATATGATTGGTCTTGTCCTTAGTTCCTCACTGGATCTACGTGTATAAACCAATCATATTCAAGAATTTTACAAAGTTGCAAAACTGCTTTTTCTGCTGAACGCAGCCATTTTCGCTTTCAATTGCTCCATTTGTTATGTAGCTCTCGTTCAGCCAGTGATGCGTGAGCCGCGGTAGGTTTTTCACTCCACTTTTTTTGTATGACCCAGGGACCAACTCAGTAAAAGTGTCACTATCTTTTTACCTCAGTACCTAAGGGTTAAAGAATCTTAATTAACAAAAATATACTATTCAATAAAGTACTAATCGCCAAATCAACGAAACAGCGGGCAGGCGTAAATTTTAATAATAATTTACATAAATGTTCGCGCGCATTTTACAATTGACTGTGCTAACTATCTAGGTACAATATGATGATCTGTATAATTACATAATTCGCGTAAATTACATTATTAATTACAGAAGATACATTTCGCTAAAGCACCGCTCGCGCACATAATCATCGACGCGACGGCGTCGACGTTGATCGAGAAGACCTTCGCTTCTATCATCGAAGCTTGAACGGCTGATGCTCATTCGCACTGGTTTAATATAAACCAAGCGTCGGTACTTTTCTTCGAATAATGTTGTAAATGGTATCGATCGTCCGGATTGAAGATCGCCGAGAAGATCTATTAGCGGTCATTCACGCGACAAGAAAAATTCTTCGTAAGAAAGTCCAATTGACTCTTGGAATTGACAATCTTAATCTTGTAAAATATTGATTCTATAAAGCAGCATCAATCTGTTCCAATAAATGCTAATAAACGGACAGTTCTCGTCGATTCATCGCAGTAATGTTAGCTAAAATCATCGCGCCAAAGATACTTTTCGACGTCCGCAAATCTAGATGGTTTATTTAATGAAATTAATATAAAGGAATACAACTCTAGACGTGAAAAATAAGAGGACAAGGTGTAACGCAGTAGCGACAGCATAATAGAACACTTATATTACAAAGTTGGTCCCCAATCCAACGTGACTAATTAATTATATTGATGTGTCTAAATAATGATATTAACGTTAAGCAACCATATCGCTTTTCGTTGGATTTGAGACCAACTGCTGATCGCACCAATAATCTTGCTGTCATCCGCGACAAAGTTCCATCTTGTCGTCTTACATCACAGCTTCATACATACGTGCGCATACGTATATTGCTAATACTTTAAGATGATTTATTGACAGCATGTATCAAAATATAGTCTCTATATCTTATATAAGCATACAGCGTCGAGAATCGGATACCAATGATCGATTTGTGTCTTTCAATCGCTGCGAATACGTCTATCGAAAAATATCGATCTCGCAGCGATCTTAATAATAAAAACAGGATACGAAAGATTTACGTTCATAGTTTGTCATGCGTACTGAGAGTGAATTACTCATATAAAGAAGCTACATTTCGAAATTAGGAAACTCAATGGCTGCGTTCAGTAGAGAAAACTGATCAGAGTGCTCAGTGATTCTTTAATATGATTCGCTCTTGCTTTTGGTCCTTTGCTGGATATAAGTGTGAGAATTGATCATATTAAAGAATCACTGAGCGCTCATTGATCAGTTTTCTCTGCTGAACACAGCTAAAGTTCTGAAGATAAACTAAAACAATATAAAAATGTAAATATTTTTAAATCAAACGGATAAGTGAGAATAACTCCGTGGATTCTTTTGGGTATTCTTGAAATATTTATTCTTCGAAATCTTACATCAGTCTTGAATGTTTCAGCTCACTTCGAACCATCTTTAGCGAAATAATGCTTGTGTGTTCATAACTGTGTGTTTCGCATAGTGTTCTTTCTGATTCATATAACGAGTGTGGCCTCGAATTTCCTAGTTCGGGCTCTTTTCTGTCAGTTGATTTTTGGAAATTAATGACACCGTTGTTTGCCAGAATGAGTTCATTTTATTTAACAATTTTTACAACATTTGTCTGTACTTATGATTGTTTATAAGTCTGTCCTCTATGGCGTCAAAACTTATATTGAATTCGAAGAATAAACATATTTCAAGAATACGCAAAAGAATCCGCAAAGTTATTCTCACTTGTCCGTTTGATTTTAAAATATTTACATTTTTATTTCTGAATGTCCGAGAGTTCAAGTTATTTTTGTTGATAAACTAAAAATTTTATATATATACTGAGAAAAATATCTGGTCAAAAATGGGCAAACCAGAATTAAGATTCTGATAATATCAATTAAAATTTCGTTTATCTCAAACTAGAATTTAATAGTGTCACTAGAAAATTTTGTTTCGTCCATTTTTAATCAGAATTCCAATTAATCCAACCAGAGATTTTTCTTTTATATACATATATACAGGACGTTTATCATAATAGTATAGATTTTTGCAACAATTTAATACAAAAATTATAAAGAAACATTCATCTATTTCGTGCTACATCTTATGGTCCAAAAGAATTGAATCTTTTTTTTCAAAAATTCAAGGTCACTTACACTTTTTTAAATAGCATTACAATTTTTTTTTCATAATGACCAATTATTCGATGATTTAGCTTAGACGTTTCTTTAAAGGAAATACCGTAGACGAGAGAGACGTGTATCGGTTTCCGCGAGGTGATCTATTTTTGCGCCAACGGGTATAGTGGCAACCTCGTTACGTACTCTGGGATAAACGGCACGTCGTTACAAGAACGAAATTGCACTGTGCGCGTGGTCTGTGATTAGAAAGGGCACATTGTAACGCAATAAATATGCGTATAGGTTTACCTATACGCATATTTATTGCCTACCAGGCACGAGAGCGTAGTCGGTGATTGCGTGCGCGCACGAGAGACACATGCAAGTTGCGAAATTCGTACTCTTTCGAGAAAACTCCGTTTCAGAAAGGCGCAAACAAATTTGCATAATGCGATGGTAGGCCTCTCATTAGTGGGGAATGAATAAGGCGGCAGTGAATCGGAAACACGCGAATGTTGATTTGAGAACGAACTAATTCCGTGGTCAGACCGGTTTAGATTTCGCGAATACCAACATTTATTCAGATGTTGGTTAAGTAATAATACAGGTATTTTTGAAGCTAATTAATGAAACAATCGATGGTCTTCGGAGAATTGGATTTTACGTTAAGAATCGATAATATTAAAAGGATTTTATTATAGACAATCTGAATTCTATCTACCACTTTAATTTCGTTCTAAATAAAAAGATATATATGAATGTGAAAAGATGAAAAAACTAATATAAAATTTAATGAAATATAAACAATAACAAGATGTTAACTCAATTGATGCTGATAAAAATATAATTAAAAACTAAAATATATATAATAAATATTATAATATAATTTTATAAGAAAATAATATTTTTCAATAAGACACTAAAAACATGATACAAAAGTTATGGATTGTAAAGAATAGGAAAGTAATAAGCAATTTGAATCCATTATTCAAGACATGAAAATTGCAAATTTCAAGTTTTATATCACTAAGTACACGAAGAGAATTTTTCGTTATTTTAGCGCAAAATTCGCTATAAATTTTATCATGTTTAGTGATAAATGTAGAACAATTTAATAATATATTAAATATTATTAGTAATAATAAAAATTTTGGAAATATCGAAAAGAAAATTTTTATAATCAATAATAAAAATTATCAAGTACATTGTATATATAAATTATCATTGTACATATAAATTAATCTATATGAAGCAAAATTAAAATATTTACAATGTGTTTTGTAAAATTAACATATTACATTTTAATACAGATTAGTTATCATTATCTTAAATTATTAGATTTAAATAAGGTATTTTATATGTTTATAGCTATTTGGCAACTATTTAAAACAACAAGGAATCATGAAATATTTACTGAAATTTTACTATCTTTTTTTTAGTAAAATTAATTGAATATATTAAATTAGAAAAAATCACATAAAATTATTCGAAATACATATTGTCCTACGATTTATTATTGTGATTTTAGGATAAATTCTAAGAGAAATTTTTCTCCATGATAATCGGAATATTATTAGCATACGGAATATTATTAGACACACGATCTAGTTCAAACCAAAAAGGCATTTTCATACAATTACTTACAATTAGTTATGTTATTTATGATGTGAGAAACCTAGGTGGACCAATTTCAAAAATGCGCCATTCAAAGTAATGACAAGATTTGTTATCAATTAGAAATTAGTTTCAAATTTTATAAGCCAATATAACGCCACTATTAAAAATTTGCTTCAAATATTATGCGCAATGTTACATCTGTTTTTACAGCATGGAGCTATTCACATATTCAACTGATATTTTTTATTGTTGTTTATAAAATCGGAATATTAAAACCAAAAACACACAACGAGATTTCAGTAATAAAAAAAAATCATAATATTAAAAAAAATCATAATATTCAAAAAATTAAAAAATCCTTCTGTTATTATTTTAAAAAGATTTCATTAAAAAAAAAAAAAATATTACACTAAAAATGCAGAATTTTTTCTTTTCTGGATGCTCAGAATGCGTTATTAATTCACTCACGCAAGTCAACTTGATATTTAATAAATATCGCAGACAATATTTTCAGAAACAAATAGCTTGACATTTTTTGAAACCTTTTGTACTTTATCAACATATTTAATTCTTTTAATTTTTTTTATGTTAAAAATAGTTTCTATTGATATTATTACAAAAATGTTTACTATACGAACAAATATGGTTATGAATTTATTTTGAAACATGTAGTATCTCGCTATTAAATTGATATTTTGTTATATGCTCCAATATTAATTAAGTGTACGTAATGTACAAATAGATACCGTATAGAAGCAACAATAATTTCTTAATAAAAATGTCATTACATATTTGTATGATAATCTTGAAGTTGCTGAGAAGATTCTGAAGCACCTTTACCACTTGTCATATCATCAGCCTGAGTGCGCGAAATATCAGCTCCGTGATTACTAAATTTTAATCGCTAATTTAAAAATTATTATAGCCTTGACATTTTCGTATTAGGATTTTCTTCTTTTTCTGTTTCTCCTGTTTAGTTTTCCGACCCCTTAAGGGTCATAGTATCATGCGTATCAATTTGCTTTATAGCCTCTTCGGGAACAGAAGCTTGCTTATGTTTTTTCAATCTGGTAGTAGTAGGATTTCACTCTACAGAGTTTGTCAACACTCGAGGGGACCTACAGTTTAACGCCGAATCCGAATGGCAAACGCGAAAAATAGCGTATATGGGATGCAGATGGGATCGAACCCGGATTCACATCTCGCGTCAATCGCACTGAGGAGCAAGCCACTCAGCGCCTCATCAGGATTTTCGTCTTAGAATGTTCCAAGGAATCCGTTCTTAAAAGGATGAGCATGGGTTGTGGGATACCCTGCATATAATATATTATACATAATCATAATATCTATATAAACCTATCTACGTGTTTGATACTTCTAATGAAAAAATTGCTTAAGACGTTGATTTTTTCCTGACAGTTCTCGACGCTGCACGTTATTCTAATTGCTTTACCTACCGACAGAATCGCGATTGTATCTTGCGATTATCTCGGTGAATCCTGACAGACATCAATTTCGATGTTCGATTTTAAGTTCAGTCAACCAGGCTATCGTGTGTCTTCGATTTCTGGAATTGCATCGACGAGGACTAGATACGAGGAAGACATTTACGAAGTGAAATGCGTTCTAGAAAAATATCTACCGGTTTAGAAAATTGTTGAGCGATTACACAACTTAGCCTCCACTATAGCGTCAATCGAACATCGATCAATTACAGACGAGACTTAAAACATAGTTTCACATGATATGATTAATATTTTTTATACATATAATTTTTTATATGTATCGCTCGATGACTATCAGGAATCACGACAGCACATCTCGAACCTAATTGGAAACACTTCTTATTCTGCTACTCTTCGATTCTCCTGAGTCTTTGAGGATAAAAGTGCCGCACGCAACGGCGGATAAAAACACTGGAAAATATTCGCTAGAGCACTCAGTTTTTGACTTCTTTGCGAGAAAACGCATTACTATTCGGTGAATGCTGCGAATTAAGAAGATGTCATCATAAACTGTGAACACTTGTTACCATTACCACATGATTTGTATCCACATTTATAAGAATGTGGCTACTTTCGGGACGATGTCCTTAACCTAGGCCAACGTCTAAGGACATCATCACTAAGAAACCGACGATGGCGGCCCAGCTGGCGAGTTTGCCGTTTCCGCTGTAAACAGAAAGCGCGCGTGGCACATGCATTAAGATCCAGGAGATTCACATATAAAATCGCAAGAAAACTGTCCGAATTTAAGATGCTTCATTTGATTTATAATAATGTTATATATAAGAACATTGAATTTATCAGTTCGTCTTATTTGTTTCCACAATTTTATCTGTGTAATTATGCCTCCCGAAAAACTCCAACAGGACAGGATGGTCGCACGTGTGTAAAATTCTTTCTAAATCTCTGCAATATCGCGATTTGGTGGCGGCGTGATGCATGAACGGTAAAGAAGCGGGAGAGAATTTTAATTAGTGCAACCGGTGATGCATGGATCGAATGTAAAAATCAAAAGGGAGACAGAGAGAAAGACATAGTGGACCAAGGTGGAGGACGAGGGGTAACAAGGGTGCGGGGAATTAAAAAGGCGGCACTGGCGCCGTCGCCCACCGCTATCGTCATCGTCTTCTCTGCTCCTACGGCTCCGTGGCAACGACCTGGGAGAAAGAGAGCCCCAGGATGGCGAGAAATAAAAGGGTTTTCGCGGCAAGTAAGTAGGGATTAAGCACATACAAAGCACACACTCGCGCCACGCCGCGCCGCGCCGCGCGTATATACCCCGGTATTGCACGTCACGGCTTGTTGATTTCGTAAATTATACACGGCCATCAATTTTAACGGCCGGTGAAACGCGCCGTTGTATTTCGGTGGGCGTTCTACCACATCAATCATATCCGCGCGGTAAATACCTCCTTTCGGTGTGCGTCAGAAAATTTGTATTTTTATTGGCCATTATCGTATCTCATCGCAATGGTAGCCGGGATAACAATGTTCGCACGTCGTCGTCGTTGCTTGCTCGGCGAAACTGGGGCGCCGAGTCAAGTCATGTCGCGATCCGCATCCGCTAAACGAACGCATCCGCTAAGAACCGATCCTCGATCCGATTTATCCTTTATTTAGCATGACCGACGGTACGTTGTACTCCTCGCGATAAAATTTAATATTCTTCGTGTACTTCCTCATTCCTTAGAACTTTGAAACTATTCACGTTCGAACATCATATCATGTTACTGAATACTTTATGTATTAAATCACACCGATTTCTCATTGGTTTGATACACAAATCCAAGTATGTATAATAAATGATTTTATATATGTGTGTTGTGATTTAGTTTTAACATTGTAAAAATAACACACGCTACTCTGCATACAAAAATAGATGTATACATTTAAACGTGTATAATAGTTGTTTTTGTATAGAAAATTATAACAATAACAGCGAATTCGATTAGATGCAGTACTCACTGATGCACATTAAACTCATCGTACACAAATTGATGTAAGAGGATATGTGTTTATTATAAATATAGAAATCAGTTAAAAACTAAAATACTCAATACACTTCATTATGCTATAGGTAAAATATATATTTTAATTCGAAATATTTACATTTCATTTTTACTCAGATTAAATTAGTGTACAATGACTTTAATATACTAGCGTGTCCAATTCGTTATAAACCACATACATATATGAAGGCACTTATTACATACTCGGATGTGGAGTACTCTTTCTTTTCTATCTTGTTAATAGCCATAATCAAAACTGTACAGTTACAGAAGGAAACATCGACCGACTTGACATCCGATTGAGTGCGAATATGTAAGTGAAAGTTTCAAGATAGGGTAATAAATTTAAATATTCCTACGTTACTCGGTTGCATCGAACACTGCATGTAACACGGGTATCATCGGCGAAGCAGACGTTCCTTTTCGCCGAGCAGAGGAAAATGCAAATTGCACGAGGGGCGATCGTTCTGAATCGAGCCGAGCCGCGTCGATTTTTGCCGGTGCTCCTCGTCGAAAGCACCGCAGTCGCGAAGGAATTCGAAGGAATCTCATATATTCCGATTGTCCCCTTTTCTTGGACTTAAATTAATGTGGACTTAAATTGCGTGGCCCAATTTTTGGTCATATAAGCGCAAATAATTTTATAATTTTTCCTGTATTTATAATTCTAGTTTTGATTAGTTAACCCTGAAAAAGCTTTTTTTAATCGAGATTAGTCTAGGTCTACGAAAGTCGTCGATGGAAGGTGCCCAACTCATAATTTTTTACAGATCGTTTAAATGAAGCAAGTGTACTTAGCAAGTATAATTCTCATGGCTCGACAGTAACACAAATATTGCAGATTGCGAGTTGGGCACTTACGGCACTTACAGGCGTATTCACAGCCATTTTTTAGGAATAACAATTTGCTAATAATACGCGTATTAACATTTGTATATGCACAAAGGTATGAATAAGGAAACTTCATACTGTCTTCTAAAGGACTTGATCGTACTCCTCGGATGTGATTGCTGGAATTTCGAAAATATATCTACTGTGTACATTATACAGGAAAGAACAATTTTGTTGAAATATCTAAAAATATAGCTATCGGGTTGATCAGAAAGTAACTTCGTTTTTGCTTAAAATTGTATATACAATATCTTCGAACCATATCTACATGTTTTTAAAATTTGGCAATTGTATCATTCGATAAAGCAAAGTCTAATATAATTATTTTAATGTTTCAACAAAATCTATTTTCAGATCTATATCTTATAGATAATTTTTTAGATACACTTCGGCAAAACCATTCTTTTCGTGTAAAAAAGCGAAGTTAGACCGTGCATATCTACGCAAATGCAGTTCGAGATCGATTGATTCTCTTCGAAAAAGAATCGCTTGACTCTTCTTTCGTGGAAGTCGAGCAACGGTTTCCACGAAGAAGGAGAGGAAAGACGGGAGAGAGCGAGCGATCTGTTTTCACTTTTGTGTTTTCCGGCCACCCGGAGGGTTCCCGAGGGAGCGAGTTGAAGCCGACTGTCTCAGGGGATCCTCGACGAGAGAATCGTGACGAGAGAAGGTGAAAGAGAGAGAGAGAAAGAACGCATGTACCGTGCGCTCGCGCTCGAGTATCCGGGCGGTTAGATCGCACGCGAAATACAAAAGGAGCCAATTATAATGACAATGCACCTTCTTCAGCTAGGCCGCCGCCAGGCCTGGGAAAGAAATTCGCCACGTCCGTTTTGCCAGCGGCGCGCTAACTACGGCACTGCCGTCACGCGCCATTGTACCGTAATCGCTCTCGAATACGGACATCGTAGATACTTGGATACGTTTGTGCGTGCGAGTACGTATGTATAGGTACGTGTGTGCGTGTCCGCTTGACACGGAGTAGAAATTCATAGGACATACGCGACACGAATTTTTTCCTCTCTATATTTATGCGCTTCGGTGCTTCGTACGGTCGAAATGGATTCCGGACGTTTCGCGCGGTCGTCGGAATGATCTCGCTGAATTCTAGCGACTTCGGATCGAATGAAGAATATTAAAATAAAGCGAGAAATAAAGAGTATACATGAGTTACAGTACACATGAGTTCTCATCGTGTTAGGTTGTAAGAATCATAATTAACCGATCGCCATAGGGCTGATAATCCATCATGTGATATATCAAATTAAACAAATGGATGTTAAATAAAACGGATGAAAAAAATTATTTTCAATTAACTTGATATAAACTTCATAAATCTAACAAGTTATGAAAGAAATGTAGAAAAGGTACATATAAATATAAATATAAAATTTTACGAACCGCTGCGTTGAGCTGGCAATCTCTAAATTTTGATTTGCGTAATTGATCGTACTTATTGTCTTCTTAATTCGTATCTACTAATTAATCGGTATCATTTATTTTATATAGTGTAGAAAATACTTTTAAGAAAGCAAAGAGCCGACAATAAATGAAACTGTGTACTGATTACAATTGCGAACGAGAAAATGACGCTTATATTTATTGTCAAAGAGAAGGACGATAGGATTGGAGGATCGCGCGTTATCAAAAGATTGCCATCGAACGGCTATCCGCGCATCCGCGCCCGAGGATGAGAGAATAAATCCCGAAATAAAGGACCATTGTGTCGGTGGGAAAAGCGCCTTCCGCCCTTCTGACTCCAAGACTAGGCCTGGATTTCTAATTCGTTGTGAATGGGCAGAGGGTGAAACGTGAGACGGAAACGGGTGCAAGTGCACTGTGGACTGGTGCCTCTGGTACGAACGGTGTTTAAAAAAAACGAAAAGAGCGAGAGCGACAGCGAGAGAGAGAGAGAGAGAGAGAGAGAGGAGATAAGAGAGAAGAAAGAACGAGGAGAAGCCGGAACCAGTTAAAGGAACGAGTTGCGCCCAACTCTCTTTGCGCGAACCGGCTTCACCCTTCTGCATTCAACACCACCTTCCACGCTTTTTCAATAACACGTGCATTTTCCGATGCGCGACCATAAAGTTCCTTATCGGAAATGCAGTTGTAACGACATCGGTAACGCTCAACAGGTTTGTTATCTGTGATTTTTGTCGAATAGCTTCAAGGCTCGAATAAACTTGAGATCACGTCATTTGTACATTTTCGAGAAAGATTCCTATCGCGTTGCAACGATCTTGTAGAGCGAGTTAAGCGTCCGTTATTTGGAACATTGTAAAAAAGCGTAAATAGGAGTCGTTTTGCAGTTTTAAATTTTTCCGGACAAGTGGATTATACGGTACATACCTTTGATGCGCTTCCGGGATAATGTCGTCGATCACAACGTAGATCATCGCACCGGCCGCGAAGGCAAGTGCATAAGGTAGCGCAGGTGCAGCGAGCGTCACTCCGGCTGCGCCGAGGACACCGGCAATAGGCTCCACCATCCCCGAGAGCTGGCCATACCAGAAGCTCTTCAGCGTGCTAATCCCGGCGGCTTGAAGAGGCAAGGCCACCGCTAATCCTTCAGGGAAGTTTTGTATCCCGATCCCGATCGCGAGGTTTCTGTAACAAAATTCAGAGTGTCGTTACTTTTAATTTGCGTGTACACTTAATTAATTATGAACTAAAATTATAAATTCTTGCTTTAACATTTTTTAAAGAAAAACTTAATCCTAATTGGTATTCATAGATCCAGTAGGTTCGGATATTTATTCGCCCCAAATGTTATAAAAAATTATAATATTTATAAATTTTTCAAATGTTTTTTACAAGTTTACGCAAGTTTTAATTACATAATCTTATTCCTCAAATTTTTTCCTTCAAAATGAAAAAAAAATCATGAATTATATTTTAAGCGAAAATACATTCATTTAAAGTACATTGGATCTGCAAATACCAGTTAAAGAAATTTTAGAACAAATACTAATTAGGGTTAAGTAACATCATTAATAAAATTTTCTATATAGCTCATTTTCTATGGTGACGAACGATTCTTTCACGCGTTTCAGTATATAAGTATCGTGACATTTCCGTACCCGTCGTATCAAGATACCTGGATCTTGCACCGAGCGCAAGAAGCATCCGTTTGCGAATTCCGTAAAGTTGTGCACCGATGAATTGCAACGACGGTATGCAAAAATAGGACGTCTATTAAGCTGGCACAGCCACTTCAGCACAATCAAACGCGACCTATACCACATTTTTTTGCTATTTTTTTGCTAATTTTTTGCTCTATTCCCGATTTTTTTGCTCCAGCCGATTCGCTAAAACCCATGGCTGTGCTAGCTTAAGATCAAAGTTAGCACAGCCACAAAGAAAAAAAGCAGCAAATGAAAAATCAA